CAAAGAAAATAATTTAAAAATATGAAAAATACTTTTTTTGGTTAAAAATTTGGCAACGATTTTTTTTTTTTTTTTTTGGGGGAATAACTCGGGAATTGACCCTTAACTAATTCATTTGTTATGATCAAGTCCCTACTAACTTCTTCAACTAAACGGGATACATATAAAGCACCAGTAATAAAACGGGATACATATAAAACAGTAGTAACAAGGGAGGGAGCGCAGGCGGCAGGCATAGACGGCTACGCATCCGCCTCTACTTCTACTAAGGAGAAAGTCAAGCGCACACTATTTCTTCTTCTTCTCTTCTCCACCACCTTCAACTTCCCTCGTTAAATTTCTCCATAACCAAATTCAGCACTTCCTTTCCTCCTCCTTTCTTTTCTCTTTGGATTTCTCCCCTCATCTTTCCATTACAAATTTACAAGCAATGCCAGCACAGAAACGCTCCTACGAGGCCCTCGTCAGGCTGGCAGAGGAGGAGGATCCTACCCCACTCGGCAACAACCTCGAGCAACGGCAGCAGCAGGAGGACGATGGTGCTGACGCTCATGGTACTTGGAAACTAAGAGATTTCAACGACGTGCATAACTACGCGGTTTTGTAATTTTTTCTTTTCTTTTTTACTCAGTTCTTGGGTTTTTTTCTCCTTTTTGTTTCGCAGAATCCAATCGCAGCAGCCATTCTTATTTCAATGAAGAAAAAGAAGAGTACGTAATTTTCTACCCGATGCTCTTTTTTGCGTTAATTGTCTTTGTTATGGTCTGGTTTTTGAGCACCGGGCTTGATTTTGGCGATCTGCATGGTTTTCTTTTGCATTAACGAGTAATTCTGAGGTGCTTTGTGGGTTTTAGTGGAAGTGACAATCTAAGCTTCAATAGAAATCCATCGTTTTGACTTTCATGGTACCTTATATTTGTTTACCAGAGGGATCTATTTTGATTGTCCCAAAACCTGAAAGTCCGAACCCCTGAAGCTCAAAAATCCTTTGATCTAAATCAAAGAAAGCCCATATAAAGTGAAACCTGAAAGCAGCGATCTTTATTTGATTTGAGTAAATGTTTGTTTCTAGAAATATTAAATGGCATTGCTTCAGGACTTTATCTTCTCTTTTACAATCCAATCCCCAAAAGTAAGTTCTTGTTTTCATGTCCCAGGTTAACACAAATATCAAATCTTTGTTTCTAAGGAAGCAGTTAAGTGTATCTGATAATTGAATATAGTTGAATTTAACCTTAGGTCTTCATGTTATGTAACAGTCATACTTAGAATAGAATAGATCAGAAATTGCCTTTTGTCCTTTGGAGTAGATAGAAGCTCATCAACCTTGATTAAATTGGCAAAATTGGCTTCTGAAAGAAGTAGTTTCTTATCTTACCAAACAACTATTTCCATGATAAAGTTTATGAAGACATGCCAGAAAAAAGAGCTAAGTGTTGGCTTGACTTGAAGGTTTTACATTACAGAGCATGTACATTTTCATTGCAAGCTTCATGAAGATGAATATCTTTTGTTTCATATCTCTGCAAATGGTTTCTGAGTGACCTTTTTGTTTGTGAAAAAGATAAATTAGAATTTTAAGGCCTATTTATCAATTATTGTTTGTATAATGTGCTGAGATAGTTTCCTTGGCGTTTTATTGCAGGTTTGTTTTAGTAAATTTGTCTGACATTCACAAAGAAGTTCAATGTCCAATCTGCCTAGGTATGTTCCTCAAGTTTCTTTTTGCCCTCTTGAAACTGTTTGTTAAATATTTTCGGCTATAATTTATGTCTGTGTATGCTTATTCATCATGTTGGTTCTAGCTAACAATCTATATGGTCCTCAACTCATTGATACAAAGTAAACACATATATATAATCATCAAATTTTCTAATTGTGATGATGATGTCCATCCTTTTGTTGTATCTAGGGATCATTCGCAAAACAAGAACTGTGATGGAATGCTTGCATCGTTTCTGTAGGGAATGCATTGACAAATCTATGCGTCTGGGGTATGTTTAAACCAACATCATTTTTTTATTGCTTCATTGAATCGTGGAACCAAAGTTCTTTATCCAGTTCTATCTTGGAATAATTGATTCTGCTTAGTTTTGTAATAACTTTGCCTTGTGCATTCAAAGACTCTCTTTTGAAAATATTTCCTGAAATTAACAAGGAACAATGAGTGCCCTGCTTGCCGCACGCATTGTGCCAGTCGGCGATCCTTGAGAAATGATCCAAACTATGATGCCCTAATTGCAGCCTTATATCCAGATATTGACAGATATGAAGAAGAGGTAATAGTTTGATTATTGCACCTAATTAGAACTGATTTTTTTCTTTAATGGCTGAAATTCAGTCATCTTGATTCATCATTGGGTATGTGGTTTAGGAATTGACTTTCCATGAGGAAGAGATGACTCGCAATAAGCAGGTAAGGTGTTGCTAGTTCGTTTGGCTCCATGTGCCAATATGCATACATATTTGTTTAATTTTTCGATAATTAATTTTGGGTACAATTTGAAGATTCAGATGTATTCATCTGCTTCTAAGTTCATAGTTGTAATTTTTTTCTTGGGTTTATGACCTCATGCCTCCATGGTGCTGTCTATTATGAGAGAATATTGTTATCTTGCAAAGAAAGCAAAAGTGGTAAAATAATATCTTATTGTTCTTATTGGTCAATGCTCTTCACCACACTGCTTTTAGGAACTGTGAGCATATCCATGTAATAATCTTGTGCAGAAAAATGGTCTTCTGCTGAATGGCTAGCATTAGATACACCAGTTTTTGACAATTTTGAGCATTAGTATCTTTGTGTGCTCTAGCGCCTAGAAACATGACCGCCAGGGTAAAAGGGCATAAACATCCTCTTTTGCTTTGTCTTGTTTTTAAAGAGCCAAGTTTATTGACACAGATCCAAGACTCAATTTCCCAGACCATCAAGCGACAATCAGAAGCTCTGGGTAAGAAACGGACTGCTAAGGCCACAGCAGCTGCAATCATTAGGAGATCACAAAATCGATATCAGGGGAGTAGAAACTATCGAAATTCAGAACTTCAAGTATCAGATGAAAACGAGGCTGCAAATGGAGATGGAAGCAAAGACTCATCTTCTGCTGATGAACACTCTACAGAGGTCAAAACAAAGAGGGTTAAAAGAGGGAGTGGAGATCATATTTCTCATCCTTCCTCAGTTGCTAATGCAGATGGGAGCATTGATGAAAATGATTCTGAATCAAACAGGGAATCCATCAGTATATCTGCAAGGCTTGTCAGCCCTTCAGAAAGGCTTGTCTGGGGCAAAGGTGGTACACGCAGCCACACACGATTGGGCAGTATGAGTGGTGGCAATGGCAGGAATTCTAGGAACAGTCACATCTTAAAGTTGGTGGATCACCTCCGGAACCAAGAGGCAAAAGATGATGAGGTAAAGCTTAATTTTCAGATGCTACCCTGTGCGTTCTACAGAAGTGAAGAATAAATAAATCTCATTTTCAGTCCTATGGCCGCTAAGTCCATCAAATGGTCTTTACTATTCTAGACTGTTATTGCCTTTTAAAATCATGATTTGGTTTCTTTATTTCAGCTGGATATTCACTTAGTTGTTGTCCCTGTTGGTGAAGAAAGAATACCGAGATTACAGAAGCCTCATCTCTGCTGCAAGCCTAACTTGTCTGTAATGCAGCTCTGCCAGGTACTTAAAGCTTAGAACACAACACAAAGCACACCTAATCTTGTATTCAGTTTAGCAAAGAACTCCTTAACATTTTTCAAACATCTTATTTCATCTCTTTCCTAGTATGTTGCTCTGCACACTGCCCTGCAAGCCGATGAAATCGAAATATATTTGGTCAAAAAGCTTAATTCCAAGTCCAGCTCGGTAGACCCACGTATGGATAAGTTGCAAGTTTTGAAGAAGGAAGAAACTTTGGGAGCACTTGAACCACACAGTTTTAATCTAGACCATTTGGTAAGCTCCTCAACAACTAAATGTTCATACATTTTGTTCTGCTCTTCTTTACCTTATTTATTAAGTTGTGTCCTTTTTCAGCTACTGGCATACCGGAGAAAGTTGTAGAGTTCAACAGGGGTTAAAGGCAAGTTACCAAGGGAGGAGGAAGAGTTTGTATAGAATCATCGATTATTCTCATTCCAACATTCATAGGACAATGCATGAAATAGGATCCTTTATTCACTTCATAAAAAAGAGTAGTTCATACTCACTGCCGTGCGCGGCTGATCTCCGATCACCGGAGACCATCAAATGCCACCGCAGCATTACAGAACCTTGGCATCATTCAAAAAAGGGCACAGTTGCCTCTGTCACCTCTCATGTCTCACACACAAACTACACAAGATGATGACAATTAATCACATTATAGGACACCTGGCCGACGAGGAGAACAAGAGACACGAAACATAGAAACTTCTCTTTACATTCAAACGTGGCTAACCCTTAGCCTGCCACCTCCTCAGCGATGCACGCTCCTGCTCTCCACACCGTAGAGCCTGCAATCAAATGCAAACAATTTTATCTTAGTGCCATCAAGAGCAACTAGAAATTTAGTTTCATCCATTTTATATGATATGATTAAGTGATAAAAATCTGAAGAAAGATCAAATGATTCAGAAATCAATAAGATGCATGTTTATGTGATGTGGTTTGGTGCCATATACCATTACATATCTATTGATCTATTTCCACACGCCTACCAAACAAAGAGCCACGTTTTCCTTCCTTCTCTGAGCTTCTGTTTGGTTGCTGAGAAAATTGTGGAATAAGCATATGAAACAACTTGTTTTGTCTTTTGTGGATCATTCTTAATTAATTCCTCAAAAATAAAGCAGAAAACAAGACATGGTTAATGTATATAACATTTAAGCAAAAGTGTCGTGCAATCTAAAGATAGAATTACATAATATTAACTATTAAATGAGAATTAAACTTTTTGATACAAGAGACAATTTTTCATAATTTTACCATCTAAATTATAAATCACCGTTCTACATTTAAACATTAAATCATATGAAAAAGACTGCAAGCATATAAAAATTGTATTACAAAATATTATGTAGTTTAAAAAAAATCTAAACTACAAAATTTAAATCATTCAATAGAAATAAAACTTTCAATGTTAAAATTTATTCTTCTCATTTATAGATTTTTATTTTATCATTTAATATAATTCAAATACCAAGTAAAGAGCACGGTAAAAATTCTATTCATCTCTTTTTTGTTCATGTATTTTCTCAGCAATAAAATAAAAAGTAGATCAGAGCTCAAGAAAAAGTCTTAAAGAACGCGTGAAAAACACTCTCTAGTGACGCCGGCGGTGGAAGAATACGTGTACGTACCAGTCATAAACGGTGGGAGAGTTGGGCTGTGCCGGCTTGTCAAAAACCTCGGCCCCTATGGTTTTGGTTGCAAGGTTGCTGCCCGGATGGAACACACTCCTCCACACGTTGTCCTTGCGGGCGGACTGAGGTGTCGTCGGCATTACTGGCGTCACCGGTGTCCCTGGACTCGTCGGCATCGACAGCGACCTCTGATACCTGCTCCCTTCTTCACCAGCTGAGGAAAAAAATGGAAACATCATGGCAACATATTATTACCAATTCCATGCATGATTAATACATCCCCTGGTGGGGTTACGTTGAAGATCTATTATAAGTACCTCTAACGGTGGTAGAGATCTTTCTAAACAGATCAAGGCCATGGTCCGGCTGAGGTCCGGCCACAACATCATCCCAGAGTTTCTCTAGCATTTTCTATGTTTCTCCTTTTCCTCCCGATCGATCTGAGGGTAAAAGAAACAACCTTAATTGGTTTGTATATATAGAGGTCGATGTTGAAAATATCTCTAATAATTTTAGGGTATAATTTAAATTTCCTATGTCCAATCTTAAGATGTACTCGTACTACACTAATAAATCTGGCGAATAGAAAAATGAGGAGTGGAAATGGATGTAAGGATGATGGACATTGGATAAGGATGAATGGATGGTGAGTTAAGTAGTTGGGCCCGCACGATAGTAATATCTTAATTTCTCCTAGATCAAATGGGATGAGGGTAGGTTGGCGGAGGATTGCTTGACTTTTATTTCATAGAGGAATAAGGGGTCAATGGAGATGGGAAGAATGAGTTTTGAGAGTGACACAGGGTCCCATTCCTTTCATTATTCTGGATTCTCGTTGATTCTTATGTTAATGGGATAATGACAGAAAGAGGACGGTCCTTATTGGCAGTGTAAAAAAATGATGGTTAAAATACTCATTTGGTCCCTCAAGTTTTAGATTTATACCGAAATTATCTTTTAACTTTAAAAAATACCAAAATTATTTTTAAACTTTAATTTTCGATACAAAAGAGTCCTTGAACTTTAATTTTTGATACTAAAATAGTTCTTAAACTTTAAAGACAAATATTGACTTGGTACTTAAACTTTGAAGACACATCAACTTAGTTCCTTGAACTTCAATTATGAATATTAATTTGGTTTTTTAATTTTGATTACATGTTTATGTGATGTATAAAAAAACTATTTATAAAAGAAATGTTATTAAGCAAGAATCGATTGTTCTGTGCAATTTTTGTGAAGCAACAACAAAAAATGAGAATCATCTGCTATATATTGTGATGTGATTTCTCAGTAAAAGTATGGAACAAAAATTGTGCATGGTGGGAAATCACGCATGTCATGCCCAAAACTTGTAAAGAGGCTCTAACCCAACATGGCTGGGCAGGTAGAAATCAAAAAGGTTGGCAGGTGGTATGGTATGCTACAATATGGTCCTATGGTTAGCATGAAATCGAAAGATTTTCCAGGCAAAGCAGGTGTCTATTAATGAGGTGTTCAAGATAGTGCAATGTAGTTCATATAGTTGGATCAAGAGCAAAATTGAAGGCTCATTGTATTCTTACTTGGATTGGTGTAGTAATCCTAGCAGGTGTCAGATGGTAAAGCTTCAATATTAACGACCATGGATGGATAGAAGATGAATAGGCAATAGGAGCAATGGTTGTAATGTTTACGAATTACAGTACCCCTTGTACTCTCTAATAAAAGACTTTTCTTGGCTTTTCAAAAAAAAAAATTAATAATAATAATTAAACATCCAATCATAGTTATTACATATGCAAAATATAGTATGAGCTTTAACTTTGTTAAACTCATCATATAATTATTATTAAATTTCTTGACATTTTTAATGTTAAAATGTCTTTATTTTTATTTTTTCTTGAAAGTAATGAGTTTCTTACCTTATATTTAAATTGAGAGAAATGGAAGGGAGGAGAATTATATCATTTCATTCCTCTCCCCTCCTTTTCCTTCATTTGGATAAATAAGTAGATTTTAAAAAAAAAAAGTAAAAGAATTTTTTTCCCTTCCCTCCCTTTGATTTTTTTATATTCATTTTTAAAATTTCTCCCCACTTAATTCAAAATTTAGATATGAGATTTTAAAGTTTTAATGCTATCACCCACATAAATAGGCAAAAACTACCCACTCCTGCACGTTCTGAACGGAGAGGAAAGACTAGAAGAGTGGTAAGTACAGGGATTTTAGAGAAGAAATAAAAAGGGAAAATTAAAAACGACATGACCTGGTCACCCGGTCCATTTTTAATTGGGCTTTAATATTGTATTAATACAATATTATCATGCATTGCGTCCCAATCGATGTACTTGGCTCCATTATCTTTTTCTACCTTGCTATGATATCTAGTTGATGCCTATCAAACCAGTGGGACGTTATTTAAAACATGGTTTCGAACTGGCTGCCTTATTTGTTTCTGTCATATTGCAATTGTGTGATGGATATGATATCTTGTTTTGCTCAGCCGTTATTTGCCTATTCCATGCCCTTTATCGGCTCCTACGACGTCCCCTGATTTGGGTTTTGGTCGGATTCGCGGCATGTGACAACAGCAAATTTGTTATTGCCCATGCTGTTATAAGTTTGATGGTTATTATGAAAGATCTAAATAATTTAATAATGATCTTTTTTTATTGAAAAAATAAGAAATTATAAGTGAAAAATTATTTTATATTGTACAATCAAAATAAAAAATAAATTTTAATGATCATAAATTTTATTTTTATTCATGTTTTGAGATCTTTTACGAATCAAATTAGTTATCAAAAGTTAGAATATGAAGAAAAATCTCAACTTTATTCCTATTCTATACTTAAATCAACCAAAACTGAAAAGAAAATAAAAAGCAACCAAAAATTGACAAAAATGAAAAGATTTCCTTTCCGTAACAAGTAGAATACAAATTTGAATTTGGAGAGATAAAAATACAGAACTGCCAATTCCCAGGATTTCCCACGGTAGTTGAGAGGCAGAGCACCAATATCTTCTTTCTTCACTGCATTAAGTCCAAAGAAAGAGTGCAACCCAATTTATGGAGAGAACATGGGATGCAAAGCGTTTTCAGATGGCAACAATTATGGAGAAAATCACCTACGTAAATTTTGTTACATCATGATTGTTCTCTTATTTCTTAAATCTCTTCTCATTTAATTTAAAATTTAAAATTTAAATTATTATCCAGTTGAGATAGAGAACTACCACCC